TATAAAATTTCACCTCTATTCTTCGTACTTAATATTTTCATTAGGATCAATGATTCTAGGGTTTCGCCCTAATATTTTTATAATTTGTTGTCCGTTTCTGGGTCTTCAATTAATACTATTTTCGTAACTTGCATATTTATATTAACTTGTCGAGTATCGATTAATGTTATTTATTTCTTTTAGGATGTGGGCTTTCTTTTGGAGATGCTTTTATTACTTAAGGGGCTAGGGTTTCCCTTGAGTGGTTGTGTAGGTTCCATTGCCGACGTTCAATATATTCGTCAAGAAAGGAGACATAATCTCTTCACAAGGGTCTAACATATAATCGCCTCGAGGGACGACAAAGATTCCTACGTAAGGATCAACATGTAATCGCCTCGAGGACGACTAGGATTCTGTATTGGTAAAAAGTACATGTATGTTTGTTCCTCTTGTAAGGAAAGGGGGACTTAAAGGCCTATTGTTAACCAAGGCTGAGAGTTACTAAGTGAAGGGTGACAACAGAAAGGTGATGGTGACAAATAGGGTGTGACCCAAGTTAGTTTTATTGGGCCCCCACGGTGGACGCCATTGTATTTTTCAAAAAGTACATGTGTACATGTTCCTCCTGCAAAAATAGGGGGATTCAGAGGCCTTTGTTGGTATATTACGTTGTATGGTTATTAGGGCTTTTCCATATCAGCGAGAAGTCCTGTATGATGTTGTTTTAAGGTGGTTTTAGGAGTCTTTCTCACATGAGGTGAGAGGCTTTGTGGATGATCGATATGCTTAAGTATAAGCTTCTGAAGGGCGTGATCATATGAGTTATAATATTGCTAAGCTTCGTGCTTTAGGGTGTAATGATCTGTCTTTCCTTCATTGAGAGGAGAAGCATTTATATAGACCCTTTAGGCCTAGGGTTTGAGTAACCCTAAATGGTGACAACTGATCCACACTAACAAAGAGAAGTTATTGACCACCTATCTTTAAGGAGTTAGTGGATGACTCTCTCTCCTTTGACTAACGTCCCTACATGTCATTAGTACCATAGGCGAGTCTTAAGGTTATCGTCGGGGCGATACAACTCTTAGGCAAGGGCGCCCTATTTTAGGAGCTTCATATATATATAACACTATAGATTCCTACGTGAGGATCCAACATCTAATTATCTCGAGGAGTGACAAGGATTCCTATGTGAGGATCCAATATGTTATTTCCTCAAGGGGATACAAAGATTCATATGCGAGGATCCAACATGTAATCGTCTCGAGGGGTGACAAAGATTTCAACACGAGGATCCAATATGTAATCGCCTCAAAGGGCAATAAGGATTCATACTTGAGGACCCAACATGTAATTGCCTCAAAGGGCGATAAGGATTTCTACATGAGGATCCATCATATAATCGCCATGAGGGGAGACAAGGATTCTTACATGAGGATCCATCATGTAATCGCCTCGAAGGGTGGCAATGATTAACATGTAATCGCCTTGAGGGACACCAAAGATTCCTATGTAAGGATCCAACATGTAATCGCCTTGAGGTGCGATAATGAATCATACGCGAGGTTCCAACATGTAATCACCTCGATGGGTAAAATTAATAATTCTCCTTTACTCCGAGATGACATGTGCACGGGATAACAATAATACAAACACTTGCTTATATTAAGTGAGGGCCTCATTGAAAACCATGTGCCACCCTAATAACACATGAAAAATTACCCCCACGGAAACAATTGTTCATACAAGCACGAGTAAGACTATAATCCACTTAAATATAAAGCAACAAATTAAACTAAATGAGGTCCATCAATACGGTTGTAACTTCCTGACGATGATTCTTCTTGATCAACTTTCACGTTCTTTTCCTCTAAGACGATGAGACCCTCTTTTGTGGGAGCTTCTCTTAGAGGCTCCACCTTTGCTCCATTATTCATCCTTAACATTCTGACTATCTTCAGCTTCAAGCTCTCCACATAATATTTTCTAGCGATCTCCTAATCCTCTTGTATAACGCCCACTCGCTCATCTGGGAGGAGGGGGGAGGGTACTTCATGCATAATTACAAGGTGGATAGGCCGACTCCAACAGTTATAATTTGGCCGCCCTATGATCATATTATATGATTATGGTTCATAAATGACTAAATATCTTACCTTGACCAGCTTAGCATTTTCTTCCATCTCGAAAATAGTCTTTTATGTTATGTACCATTTTACCTGCACTTGATCGCATGAGAATCCTAACAAAGATCCTTTAAAGGGATTAAAATCATCCAAATCTAGGCGAAGCCTCTCAAATGCATCCAAATAGAGGAACCCATGGAACTCCTATAATTGATCAGAACTCTCATGATTCCCCATTCATCACATCGAATATAAATCAATAAGGGGTCATAACTGTGAGGGTGAATGGCGATTGCGTCTTCATTAGAAAAGATTATCTTATCCCCTGAACTCACGGTGCCTCTTATCGGGTGACTGAATGGGGTATTATTGACGGCTAGGACTTGGCGGTCATATGTGTTTTGGGAGACATTGGTATTTCCGCCACCGATGAGTCCTTCTGTGATAGTGTTAAGCGTGTGGAGCATGACATTATCTCCTTCCTTTTTTCTTGGTTGCCTTACTTGGATGGTCCGGTGATTCTCGTGACCTTCACGCCCTTGAGAACCATACCCTTTTGTTTCTCTACTAGGGTTACATTTGACGTATTTCTTCAAATGTCCTTCACAAATAAGGCGTTAAATCTCATTCTTCAATTGGGGCAGTCCCCAGTGTTGTGTCCCTTGACTTTCTGGAACTTACACCAACTATTAGGCTCTAGTATCATGATGTCCTCCTTAGATGTTGGTGGTTGCAAATGTTGCGAAAATGAAGGACTTCGCGCCGCATCTTCTCTCGTTGAGTGTTTAGAGGCGTAGAGCTCTCCACATGCTTTCCACTTTACTTAAAGGCAATTATGTCTCTAACAGGCGATACATAATGGTTCCTCCGAGATTTATCGGTGCCAAGAACGCCTTTTTTGGTATACAAGCCTTCTTCTCTACATTACTCTCGTCGTCCTTGATGTAACATTTCGCTCACGTCACTACCTCACCCATTATCGCCGCTAGTCTTTGGGTGAGGGATTCATTAAAGTGTCCCGTCTTGAGGCCGTTCTAGAACGCTCATACGACTATTTCTTGATTCAGGGGTGGATTACCTTGATGGTCGCCTCATTGAAGAGGGCGAGATACTCCCTCAATGACTCTGATGAACCCTACTGTATGTTGAAAGGCTGATGGCAGTTAACTTTTGATGCCTACTTGTGGCGAATTGATGGACTAATTTCATAAAGTCTTAATAGTTGGTGATATAGAGTCTGTGGAAACCCATATAGCATATCAAGGCTACGCCCTTAAATGTGTCGAAAAAGAGGTTTTACTTCAAAGAGTCAGGTCCTCCGATGATGGCCATATGAGTGTTGATGGAGGCCACATGCTCATACGGGTCGATGCGTTTGTCGAACTTAGCCAACAATGGAGATTTGAAGTTCTCTGGACGAGCACCTTCCATTTTTTGTCCAGTAGATGTTAGAGGTCCAGTGCCTCCAATTCGTCCCCCATATCAGTCCCTTGCTGCCGTTGTTGAAAATGGTGAATGCTGTCTTTCAAAGTTTAGTTCTGATGCCGAAGGTCGTCCATAATGACGCGTGTATCTGCTATGACGTTTTCGATGTGAGTTAGAGTCTTCGTTGGAAGGAGTAACTATCTTATTGTTCACCATGATGCGGGGTGTATGCGAAGACAATGCTCTGGTTAATGTAGTGAGGAAGATCCTTGTCAATTTTATTGGGACCCCATAATGGGCGTCATTTGTACTGGATAAAAGTACAATGAGCATGACAACCCTCAACTGATGAGGGATGTTAGAGGCTTTAGGTGTTACTGAGGATTAGAACTAGCCAGTGAAAAGCTCGGTATATGTGGTTTCTCTATGTTAGAGATTGGACTCTCCTAAATGTTAAGGTACTGATATATTCATAGTCTCCCAGGGACCTTGAATCATATGAACCTAATCTCGCTAGAATATAGCAACCCTTGCGCAAGTGAGTGGTTTATATCTAAAAATTCAGGAGAGATAGTTAGACTCCATGACTTCATAAGTATTGACTGTTGATCCAATATACGGTTTTCCACAATCGCATGTTATGGACGCACGAATGAGAAGTTGGAGCGACACATTCATGCAAGGAGCGATGAAACCAGATAATAGACGCTCAAATTAATACATAAACAACCCAAAAGATAATGCTTACAACTCTCGCCCTCGCCCCAAAGTCTTTCTCAATTATTCTACTACACACACTATCAAATATATTTTTAAAGTTTTCTTATTAATAACTATCAACTTAATTTTTAAGCAAAACGAAGAGAAAAATAATAAGGCAAAAGATGTAACGGTTAAAAGGATGAGTTATTTTTAGTAGACGATTTTGACATCTTAAACTAATTTCCCAATTCTCAACATAGTATCAAATAAGATGAATTGACCACATTTATTATTAGTAAAAATCAAAATCTCTTCAAATTAAGAAAAACACAAAATCCAAATTAGTAGACCATTTGGTTGAAAATTAGCACTAGAAAAACTTTTTGCTATATTCTAGTGACCATGTGGTAACATAAGTACCATCCAAACCAAACAAAGACTTATATGGGTCCCACACATATCATTACCCAATCTAAATACTAGTGCTAATAATAATAATAATTAGTATTTTAAATTTGTAATTTTGATTAATAATTATAATAATAATATTTCTAGAACAAACATTTTCCCACTTGTGTTTGCTTTCATAGATAACCTACGACCCACCAGCAACAACAACCAAAAGAATAATCTTTTTCCGTTTTCTGAAAACCCATTAAGCAAAAACCAAAAGGGTTGTTTTTTATTTCAATTGGGTGTGAAGAAAAAGTTGAATTTTGAGGAAAGAGGAGGTAAAGGTGGTAGCTTTGTTTTGAGGTTGTGGGAATGGGGGATTTGGAGAAGCAGCAAGAGAAGGTGACGATGTTGGAGGAAGGAAGGAAAGATGAAGAAGGTGAAGAGAATGAGAGGCTTTTGGAGGGTATGGCTGTTTTGGATTTTGATATGCTTTGTTCATCTGTTGCTTTGCAAACTGCAAATGGAACTTGGGGGAAACTTGGTGGTGCTGATGATGAGCATCGTGGTGAGGAGTTTGGTGGTGTTTTGAGGATGTGGGAAGGTGAACTTCTTGATTGCTTCGAACATCGTCGAATCGCTCTTGAATCTGCATGGTGAATTTCTGATTACTTATAGACATGTTTTGTCTGTTGTGATTTTTCATTGTGTTTTTTTATTTATTTTTATTTTCTCTATTTTATGATGTTTTGTCTTAGACTTTTTTTTGGTGTAGAACTTTTCATGTTGAGGAATTTTGTCTTGAATTTATGCAGAATTAAGTTAGTTGTTATGAGAAGTTTAGCTAATTTTGTAAGAATTTGGAGCTTGGAGATTGGAGATGATTGGTTGATCTTGATTTTGTTTTTCAAATTGTTTGCTTGTTATCTTCCATTTTCTGATATACAAATTCTTGTGAGCTTATAGTTACAGTTTGAAAATAAGAAAATATTCTTTTGTGATCTTTAGATCCCTGTGTAGCACTGACTCCTCTGAAAAAATGCGTCTCCGTGTCTGTGTCGGACATCGGTGTCTCTGAGTCATTCTCAATGTCGTGTTTGGGGTGTCCGTGCTTCATCCTTAACACTACGTTTAGACTTAGGATTAACAATATATATTTAATAGTTTTTATAATTAATAGGAAAAAATGACCTAGTATAATCAAAGTCAAACTTTGGGCAACTTTTTATTTTTTCAATTTTATTTACAAAACTGAGATATTGTTTTCTCTTCATGTCATTCTTTCAAATATTTGTACAAAAGATTGAATTTTTTTACTTTGATCATTATCATAAGCAAAAATTTACTTTTGAAGTTCATTGAATAAATGATGTATCTGAGAACTTATTTGTTATAGGTATATACCCTAAATGTGAGAAATGTGACAATTTTTAATATACATTTCAGTTCAGTTTACATTTCTTTGCTATAGGTTTTTGTTCTTGACTCGTAATTTGTTTTCTCATCGTGGTGTGAGGGATTTGTGACATTTAGATTTATTTTCTGAGTTACTGAGATGCTTGATATGGTTTTGAATGATGAAGTTAATTCAGTTTAACTTGTTTCTTATCCATACACGTATTGGCTACGATGCCCGCATATTTACTCGTGATGTGAGCTTTCTTTCTGTCAAAAGAGTGAAATGGCATGAAAACATATTGTCTGCTGTTATTTACAAGGAATGTTATGATTTGTCATGTATGTAAAATAGTAGCTCGTTTGGTGTCGCAGTTGTCCCTGCTACCGATTCGGGAAGAACATGAAGCGAGCTGGTCTTGGTTCTTGCTATATTCAGGTATATTCACATTGCTTGGAGATTCTCCGAGCTTCTTTGTTGTTTTATAATGATCTATCTAACAGTCCTAACTTAAAACTTGCAGAAGAAGGGAATCATATTTAGAATTGACGATTTTCATTTTCAACTTTTCTGATTTTTCGATATATAACTTTTTGAAGCTTGAAAATCCTTGTTTTATATTGCAGGCATTTGTGTATTTTGTTCTTGCCATCTGTGCTCTTTTCAACTTCATAGCCTTTATCGTCACGAGACATCACTACTTTCTTTACCTGGCAGTCACCTTCATCGTTACTGGTGGAGCATATTTAGGATTCTACCGAACTCGTATGCGAAAGAAATTCAACATCAAGGTGGGCATGTCAGCACTATATACCGTTTATTAACACTTTGTTATTCATAGACATGTTTTCAAAGAGGTAAGCTATTGTTGCATTTATATATCTAACACAATATTTGTTGGTATCGTTTTTCAGGGTAGCGATAGCTCAGTTGACGATTGCGCTTACCATTTTGTTTGTCCTTGTTGTACATTGTGTCAGGTAAATCAAGATTCTCTCCTTTGACTTCTTGTACACGGTTTAATTAGAGATAAAGCTAGCTATTGATGACGATTTTTCTTCTTTCAAATTTCACGGTGACAACAACCCAAATGAGAACATATTTGTAATCAACAATTTTATTGTATTGAGTTTTTATATTATATTGCAGGAGTCAAGAACACTTGAGATTAACAATGTTCAAGACGGCACTTGGCACGGTCGAGGTGACACCATATGCATAGGTGGCATCAGGAACGGGAGTAAAGCACTCTCCTCGTTGATTCCTCCTCCTATTGAGTCCATCAAGCTTACTGATGAAAATTTCACCTTATAGAAGAAATAGAGCATAGTGTGAGGAAGTTATGAAACAATGGTTCTTCATCTGAATTACATCCGTATCCTTAGTGTCTGCACTGCATACCGAACATACCGAGAATACAATGAAGGCTCTAACAAACACCAACCATACCGGGACGAAAAGGTAGTGGCAGTCACGGCAAACAAATTATGTTTGTGTTGGAGAACAAGTCTCATTATGTTTGTGTTGGAGAACGAGTTTCATATTGCTTGGAGCACAGAGAATTGAAACGTATATAAGTTATATACGCGTCAAATTTCCTTTGTTCCAAGCAAATTTATTCTCAATATGAGATAACTTAATTTTGGAATGAAGAACAATTACCCCATGAAGTTGGTTTGCAAATGTGCATATAGGGTGTCATTCTCAACTAATGGGGTTTTATATTTAACTGCCCTTGTAGTGTATAGTTTTGGTTAGTGTCAGTGTTGCAAGAATCCCATCTAATTGTTGTAATCCAAACTTGTGGTTTATTAATTTGTGTATTTTTACTGTAATATTATGGTTTGCAGTGCAAATTTGAAACTATGATTCTAAGCACTTGTAAATCTAAATAAATCTAAATGTTCTTCATTTTTGAAACTAGTGAAAGACATCATATGGTAGTGAGCCTTATAGAACATAGGATACCAAAAGTTTTTGGAGTGACTCCCAATGTGGTATTGAGTGGGGTTGTTTGAGAGTTTCAAGGGTAGGGGGGAAAAATATGGTTTTGAAAAATGATTTTTTTTTAAAAAATTATAGATAAAATTTTGACAATTTATTTATTTATTTAGAATGATAAACGAGTACTTATTAATATATTTTTAATTTTTGGAATATTATAATAATAAAATTGAATTTACATGGTAATTTGAACTTTTAAATTTTAAAATTAAATTACCGGAAATTTCAAAATTTCCGGTATCCCGTAAAGTCTTGAGAATTTTGAAATTTTCAGTACAAAAGGAAGATGTTTACATCGAAAATTTCAAAATTTCCGATACGAAAATACCGGAATTTTTAAAAATTCTGATACAAAATATCGGATATTTCGCGAATATACCAGAAATTTCTTAGTGTCTCACTAAATTTTCGGTGTTGTCTTGAAATTTCTGATATCGCCACAAAGATTTGAATTTTGGCTAGTCACAGAAATTTTGAATTTCTGAAAAATATCATTTTGGGGTGCCAATGTATAAGAGGGGGGAGAGAGTGACATGTTAATTTCTCTAACATCTTAAAGAAAATGGAATTTCTTAATGCACCTCAGGCTTCTCTAGCGCATCGCACGAAAATACAATAATATCTCTAAATTTCAGAGATAGATCTTCGAACACACCAAATATTTATTGATGAGAATTTTATTTCAGAGATATATACCAGAATAAAAATTATATTTGAGTAATTTATATAAGTCTTCAAACATCCTCGAAATCTCTCCTCCAACATAATTTTTAGTTCCTCTAAATTAAAGGGATTTTGTGTTATGGCTTAAAAACAAAACTCTGCAATTTTTTTTTAAATTTTTTTCATTCTATCTTTCTCTCTTTTTAAATTCCTCTTCTCCGTTTCCTTCAAAATTTCCTAACAAAGCCTAAAAAACTTAACCTTTCATTCATCAAACCATACATAAATGTATTGTAGCATATTAGTTGGATTTCTATCTTTGTTGTCATGCATTCATGATTCATGACATGTTTCACATATCCAAACTTAAGAAATTTGTTTCTGGCTCTTTTCAAACTCTCGGCCGATCCAACATAAACTTAAGAAATTTATTTCTGGCCCTATTCAAACTCTAGGCTGATCCAACATATGCTTAGAGGTATAAAGTGACTTCTATAGTAAGGTCTTAAAGATAAGGGAATTTCTTAATGAACTCCAGGTTTCTCTAACAGATCACACAAAAATACAATGATGTTTTCAGGTTTTAGAGATGTATCTCTGAATACACCAAATATTTATTGATGAGACTTTTATTCTAGAAATGTATATCGTAAAACCTTTGGAGATGTATTTCTAGACTATTATGAAGCAGAAGCAGAAAAACAGAATCGAAAAATAATATGTTGACAAAATAAAATTCCCATTGATATAATAAAATCAACAATACAGACGAGATTTAAACATAGATCAAACATTACATTTCAATACTAGGTGGACGTTACAATATTTTGATAATATCATCGATCGATCTCGGAACAGTCGCATCCAGCTCATTCAGAACTTTTGATTTTAAACGGAAAAAATTCTCCACATAACCCTTAAATCAGCGGTCGTCTTTAGCTCATAGCTGCTCCTTCTTTGTCAACGGATGACGAACAGTACTCGATCTTCACAATTTTGTGATTTTCGCCATATGGTATAAGCTCCTAGAATGTGTATTGCAGATCTTCAAGAGGAATGTACTCAGTTATCTTAAATTTTTTTGAGGGTGTCTCGCCGTTAAAGTGGACATATCCAACATGCCAAATGAAGTTCATTCTGGTGTAATATTTTTTGGTATGAAACAAAATAACAAGTGTCCTATATTTATAGTAGTTGCAGACTAATATGGATCTCACAAATTCTATCTTGTACTAGGACAAGTTCTGAAAATGTATCTCTGGAACCACACTTTATTTCTGAGATGTATTTCCGGAACCTTCCCTGGCATAACAGAACAAAAACAAAATAGAAATAAAACATGTAAACTATGTAGATTTTTTTGGCAAACTTCAAAATGTATAATTAGATATCATAATACATTAATACAATGTTACTTATAATAAATTGATAAATAAATACTAAAAATAAACCGAAAGACTTGTCGTCGGCCAAATCTACAACTATTGGTGGTACTCCCTTTGACTTTTGTTTATTTATTTCCCTTTTAATCTTGCTCAATTTGATGAACTCTTGCATCCTTTTAACAAATTGGTACAACCAAGTCTCGACTTTGGTTGTATAATAAGTTGTCCACTTTGGTGATGTAAGTGGTTGATGTTGAGTAATCAAAAGTAAGTATTTATTTTATTGTATCCACATGGATTGATGTGATATCAATGAATTTCAATAGTTACTATGGTTTTAAGCGAAATTTAGATGTTTGATTATGGAAAGTTACAAAATATAAAACAAATGAATAAAAAAGAAAGTTTCAGAGATATGAGAGCTTGCCATGATTGCACTTTATCTACCGATAGAATATGTAATTTACCATCAGTTATACACAATCTAAATATTCATCAATAACATCACGTATCACTCACAACAGAGTTTATGTCTAAACTTCTGATGAGGTTTCAACCTTATTGTTTAATCGACGATCTCTCAGCCTATTAAACAATACAACAACATTAAGAATCGATACTCACAATGAATGTTAAACCTAAATTTATATCTAGCATTTAGAGTGTAACAAATGATTATCTTAGATCAAGATTCAAATCTTATTTCTCAATATCAATTCCAATCCATGAAGTTGAACAATAAATCAAAGATAACATCAATATAGATTCATAAATAGATTGTATAGAAAACCACGATCAATAAACATACATACTGTTATGGTAAACTACATCCAATCCCAACAAAAAAGGGGTTTATCTACTCATGATAGCTTGATATAAGAAGGAAGAATGAAGATGAAAGTGCATCAATCATGATTTCCTGATGATTGATGTGTATCCAGCTTTTGATCTTCACGAATCACTATTTCCTGTTGTTTGACACGTTTCTCTATCTCTAAATGATGTCTCTCTCTAAAAATATGAAGTAAAAACTATTTATACAAGTATAAAAAAGTCACTCACGCTCAACCTCATTCTGCTGCGCTGAGTGCAACTACCAGACAAATGACTTAAACCGTCATAATTGGCGCTCAACATGGAATTTGGAGCTCAGTGCAGAAGTCTCTGGTTTTTCGTGCTTTGACTGTGCTCAACACAACTTGCATGCTTTGCCTGTGCTCTACACAACTTGCAGGCATGCTTTTTTTCAAAAGTGAAAGGTGAAGTCATTTCTTTGTGATTTGATAACCAAAGATCCTCCAATGCAAGCATACCTACAAAACGAGTTGCAAATCATCAATCTACACAATATTTACATGATAATCCACTAAAGCTAAAAATTACATAAAAGTTGAGGTATTGACTTGTGAATCCAATAAATCAAGTTAATAAGTGCCTCCAAAACATACAAAGATTCACCATAATTTGGTCCTTATCAACTCTCCTTAACTTAGAATTTTGTTCGTCCTCAAACAAAAGTCTTACAAACCTAAGAAAATAAGAGCAACTTTAAAGACTTATCATGTTCAAACAAGTTCTGAAAAAATATGACAAATGCATACCGATCATACCGAGAATACAATGAAGGATCTAACAAATACCAATCATACCTGGACGAAAAGGTAGTGGCAATCACGGCAAACAAATTATGTTTATGTTGGAGAACAAGTCTCTTTATGTTTGTGTTGGAGAACGAGTTTCATATTGCTTGGAGCACAGAGAATTAAAACGTATATAAGTTATATACACTTCAAATTTTCTTTGTTCCAAGCAAATTTATTCTTAATATGAGATAACTTAATTTTTGGATGAAGAACAATTACCCCATGAAGTTGGTTTGCAAATGTGCATATAGGGTGTCATTCTCAACTAATGGGGTCTTATATTTAACTGCCCTTATAGTGTATAGTTTTGAGTAGTGTCAGTGTTGTAAGAATCCCTTCTAATTGTTGTAATCCAAACTTGTAGTTTATTAATTTGTGTATTTTTACTGTAATATTATGGTTTGCAGTGCAAATTTGAAACTATGATTCTAAGAACTTGTAAATTTGAATGTTCTTCATTTTTGAAGCTTGTGAAAGACATCATATGATAGTGAGCCTTATAGAACATTAGGAGACCAAAAGTTTTTGGGAATGACTCCCAATGTAGGTATTGAGTGGGGTTGTTTGAGTTTGGAGGGGAGGGAGAAAAAGATGGTTTTGAAAAATAATTTTTTTATAA